GATTCTATTGTAGAGATGAGGTCTTGCTGCCCAGGTGGGTCTTGAACCCGCGGGCTCAGGCAATCCACTCACCTCAGCCTCCCAAAGGCGTGGGATTATAGACTGAGCCACCGAGCCCGGCTTCTTTCACTATTCCTTTTTTTTTTTTTTTGAGTTGGAGTCTCACTCTGTCGCCCAGACTGGAGTGCAGTGGCTGCTCCCGGCCACCGCAGCCTCGACCTGCTGGGCTCCGGAGATCCTTCTGCCTCAGCCTTCCACTACTCTTTCACTATTCATTACACCAAATAATACCAAGCAAGGAGTTAATAACCTAATAAAATAAATTTCAATTGAACAGCTAAGAATTTTGGGATTTAAATTTATTTTGTAAAAGCGACTGTGACTTAAGGGATGATTGAAAAACAAACATATTAACAATTAAGGAACATATGTATTATGAATCCAGAAATAATCATAATTATAACAAAGATAAACTGAATCTTTCCCCAAGCTGGATTAAGTACTCCTGTAATGTGATTTTCTTTCACAAAACTCAAAAGTACATTTTTACTTACTTGCTTAATATCTTATGAACTGTAAGCTCTAGGAAGGTAGGAACCAGGTCTTTTTTGCTTTGTGTCCACATAGCAGGGCACATGGTGGATATTCAATAAATATGTCACTAAGGCTACGGTTCCTAAATACTGGACCAAGGTACCCCCAGAATGCTATAACAAACTCAAAATGGTGCCATGATTTCTGAGGCAAAATTCAGAGGGAAATACATCTGAATACTTCAAAATAACTTGAAGACTGTTCATGATTTCAGTTAGATCACACTAATCGAGACACATCACACACCTTTTTAATTACTTCATTATCTCTGCAAAGTTGGGTTTTTATAGTTGTTATGATAAAAAGCAAGTATTACATTACAGGAAAATCAATGAAGAATAGAATGAGGGTGGCAATGCCCAGCCTGATCCCAAGGTCTATGAAGTTGTGTTCACTGTCTAATAGGCACACGCATCCCAGTGGCAAGTAACTGTAGTTAAGAAATAAAAATACTATTTTTTCTTTCAATTTATGCTTAAGATTGTTTTTGAAATGAATACTAAGTTGTTAAGAAAAATATTTATGAAGTTGTTTGGCCCTAACTACTTAATAAATAGAACTGTTACTTCTTTTGGCCCAAGTACACTACAAAAAAATTAAAGATGCTACTGATGCTATGAATCAAGAAATTTTGGAATTTTCAATTTACAAAATAAATGATATAGATTTGAAGAGAAAAAGGCACTTTAGCTACTATCTATGATTCATCAAATTGCATTAATAAGCAAAAGCCTACTTGCAATATAAGAGACCATGTTTGCAAACAGGGGCTCTAAAAAAAAAAAAAAAACCAACCTTTTATTCATTTACTGAGCACATATAATGTATGTGTACATATGCAGAATAATAGCTCCATCATAAGTATGTTGTCTTCACATAATAGATGTACTCTTGAAAAGCTGTATACAAACTGTACTTTCTTGAAATAAATATGTAATGTAATACTCATGGAAAAATCACATTAGAGAAACTTTGGCTAGGCATGGTGGCTCACTCCTGTAATCTCAGCACTTTGGGAGGACGAGGTGAGAAGACTGTGTGAACCCAAGAGTCTCAGGCAAAACAGTGAGGCCTCGTCTCTACAAAAAAATTCACAAAATTGGCAGGGCATGTGGTTCCAACTATTTGGGAGGGTGAAGAGGAAGGAGGCCGAGGCTGCAGTGAGCCCCGATCGCATCACTGTACATCAGCCTGGGCAACAGAGTAGTAAGACCACAACTCAAAAAAGAAAAATGAAAAGAAACTCTGAAATGAATCTTCAAGTGACAACTTTAATTTTGTTTTGCAAAGTTGTATTTTTATATATTGTGCTTTCTCCTAGTAAAACATAGTTTATCTTAATTTAAATATGTTTAATATTTTTGAAGGCATATCTACATTGATCTCATTTTATCTTCATTATACCTCCTTGAAGGACAATAGAGAGTGAAATAAACCTGTCTCTTTTTAAAAATGAGAACAATATTACAACAATTTTGTAATGAGAATCTACCCTCTATGCACTAACAGGAAATTTCTTAGAGGATTTTCTTTCAAATTCATTTTTGTAGAGTAAATCAAATTTACCATACAAAATAGTAATCCCAACTTAAATTTTTTTATGTCTAGTTCCATAAGAATTTAAATTTATATTTTATGTAATCTACTAAATAGTCCCTAAAGAAGTGAAGTCTCAGTGTTCAAAAATCTGCAAATGTTTGGCTACACAGTCTTCAAAATTCTCTAATATCAACTTAAATATCTCATCATCAAATGAAAGACTACCAGTTTTTCTGCAAAATCGAAGCTCCAAACTTTTTTTAAAAAGTTTCTTTTATTTGTAGTTCCTGAAGACAGTGGGGTAAAAACTATCTACAAATAGCAACTCTTCCAAGTTAAATGCTTTGGATTATTTTAACAAACATGGCAAACTGCCTAAAGCGTGACATCACACAGAGGCACCAAACGTTATTTTCTGTCCCAAAAATATGGCCCAAATTTTAAAACTTTTCTCTTAAAATACCAAAGCCTTATTCTGTTTTAGTCCCATAACAATGTTCTAAATAAACTTGATAGCTATTACAGAACATTAATAATAAAATTTTAAATTAAAATTATTTTAGCCATCCTAAAATTCTGAAAAAATTTTATTGTTTCTATTGAGCTAATATTTAGTCTTGAGTTAGTATCAAATATAAAATCATCAAAAATTAAAATATAACCTGCATATATCACACATAATATAAATATACATCATAATCAAAATAATCTTTTAACAAATGACAAGTTGAAAAAAGATCCATTAAATCGATAAAAACATATAAAGTACTATTTTCAAGTACTGAATTATTTGGAGATGAGAACAAAAAATCAGAAACTGGTACAACTCCACAATACATGCAGACATGGTCAGAAGGTTCCTATTTTAGTTTTACTAAGTCTCTAAAATATTTTTATTTCTTTTTTTTTTTTTTTAACTTGTCACTGACTTGAAGCTCATCTGAAAATAATTTAGAACCACATGAATTCCAGTCTATTTCCAAAGATCTTGGTAAAAAGAAATCCTCAGGAATATATACATTAAAATAAAGCCACCGAGCCTGGCTCCTCTTTTAAAGTATATAATACTTAGATGGTTTTAAAACATGTAGATGCAGCCGGGCTCGGTGGTTCAGCCTGTAATCCCGCGCCTTTGGGAGGCTGATGTGAGTGGATTGCCTGAGCCCACAGGTTCGAGACCCACCTGGGCGGCGAGACCTCATCTCTACAATAAATCAAAAAATCAGCCGGGCGTGGTAGCGCATGCCTGTAATTCCGGCTACTCCGAAGGCTGAGGCAGAAGGATCGCCGGAGCGGCCGGGAGCAGCCACTGCACTCCAGTCTGGGCAACAGAGTGAGACTCCAACTCAAAAAAAAAAACAAAAACATGTAGATGCAGTATATACTTAGAATTTTCTTTTAAGATAACCAAATTCATTACAACATGCCATGTATATAATGACAAAGCTCTTGTGAGGATCAAATTGAATCAAGAGAGTTAGAATCACTGATTAAACTAGTATAAGTTCCCTGAGGGGCTGTCTCTTATTTTATTTTGCATTCTTAATGCTTACTCTGCGCCTAGTACTTCATAGGCACAAGTTACTTGAATGGATGAATTTAAAAAAAGTAGTACATGACAATACATAAATACTATCTCACATTCTGGGAAACTTTCCAGTGTATTAATAACTTAACAAGAAACAAATGAAATATCCAATAGTAATCTTACACTTGAATGCCTAAATGCGAAACATACCTCAATTTGCATCTTCAGATGTGTCTTGAAGTTTGATAACAAAGTAAGAAATATAGAAAGAGAAAGCTCAAAAACCTCTGGAACAGATGAGACTCCATTTTTTGAGAGTGCAACACAAAGATACTGCTTAATAGCATTAATAAACATCTCGTTTGTCCTGAAAACAGGTCCTGCATTCTGCAGAATGGATAGAAGTAACTGCAATGAAAGAATCTTGGATCGTAATTCATGAGACCTAAAATGTAAAAAAGAAGGCATAGTATATGGACAAGTTTAGCATTATGATAATAATGGATTGTTCCAAAGATATTTCCTGGTACCACATAATTTCACAAATTTTTTAAATGGAGGCTAACAGAAATTCTATAACATTAAAAAAAAAAAAAAAAAAAATTCAGTACACGAGCAACTTAGCTACTAACAACAGTGCTTCTACTGATGTTCCCATGTACTACAGAATATGATTCACAAATTTTCCAAATGGGAAAAGAAATCATTTAACGTTTAAAAATGTTTAACGTTAATCTACTGTCCCACTGGAAAAGAAAAAATAGTTTGAAGATTTATGCCTTGTTCCTTTCCTTTACAACTATACTTCTGAGAAATCATTATGAACATCTCAGACTGTTATATTCAGCATATAACAGTTAAATTAATTTTTTCCTAGTTATGCTACTCAGAAATTCCAAACACCAATAAAAAAGTTTTGGCTCTATTAACAAATTATAGTACTACTTGAAGCTTACTTTTTCAGTAACCATTTAAAGATTTTTTTTCTCTTTTGAAATAAACAGAGGCTTTTAGAACAATTAAAAACTTTATCTCTTAATAGGTTTGCCATTTACTCTAAATATTTTTGTAGTGAAAAGCTGAAAAGCAAATTTTGGTTTAAAATTTTTAATTTTTTTCCAATCAATATACTGTGCTATGCTTCTGATGACTATCTAGCATTTTAAATATCAGATTTTGCAAATATAGTTTTTCTCCCATTGCAACTGCTCTCTTAAGCCCAAAAGACCAAGGACACTGATCTCAGGCAACATTTCAAATATAGAACACACTTAAACACCCTAGTAGTTGGTTAATTTTCTTTAAAAAATTTTATCCAAAATGCTGCATTTAGTCACATTTACACTATATAGTAAACTTATTGCTCTTGACTTCCACCTTAAAATTTTCGTGGTTGTTAAGTATCAGGTAATTCAAGAAACTAAGTAAAATCTAACAAGGAATAGTTAATTAACTTCATGTATATGGGTATCACAAAAAAACCCTACTTTCTTTGAAATGAAACTGGAGCCAATAATATTACGGCTCATTAGTAGATAGTCATGTTTCCAAGATGGCTATTCCTCTGAGTCTAAGAATATATGCAGCAAATACATAACAAAACATAATGCTTAGTATATCAACTTAGAAACAGCAAGACATAAGACTTTGAATAGCTACAGGAAAATATGGAGTATGCCAAGTATCTCCCCCTCTTGTTCTAGTGGTCTTCCAAGGCTTTTTACTCCCTATCACTGCTTCTTACTCTAACTCACATTTATCACCTTTTTGGCTCAATTCCCACAGTAATTAAATCCTGCAGCTTATCATTCTCTAACATGAGTCTTCGTTATATTTTAATCTTTGTACCCCCAGCATCTAACAAAATATCTTGTATGTATGTGCTCAAAAAAAAAATGTATTCTTGCAATCAATCATTTAAAGTACCTCCTATTTACAAGGCATTAATGAATTAAGAAATAATCAAATGACTATCTTGTGATACAAAAATATCAATATACTTTCGATAGGCAAAAGAGGCTAGAAATTTCAGTTCTGCAGTTTTGCATGGGGTAGTTTCCAATTATGATTCAGGCTTAAAGAACATTTCCTGGATCACCATTTTAGCAAGGCCAGAAAGTATAAAAAGAAGCAAAGACCAAAAAAGGAAAATTATGTAACTAAAAGAGTTCATTGATTTTCTGCAAAAAAAAACCATTTGAAAGAGAAACCACATATTCTCTTTTGGAAAAACTAGTTTTTTGTTTTGTTATTATTATTATTTTTTTAAGAGGATTTATGGAGAAGACAGAATAGCTCCGACAGCGGGAGGGGACCTGAAGGGGCTGCCCGGAAAAAGTAGTTTTTAAGTGTGGAAAATCTGATCTCTTTCAGTATTCAATTTCAATGTTTAATGGCCCTGACGGTCAAGTTAAGAAGGTCTTCAAACAAAATTTCCTAATATTTGGGTTTAGGCTCACTAAATAGAAAGTTTGTTAATTTACATTATTCGTCATAAGAATGTCTGTAATATTAAAAACTGTAACTTTTCAAAACTAGATCACTCTTTTATCAGAAATAATGAACACACCACTCCATAGTACTCTTCAAAGTTCGTATATTTTCTTTAGTGTCCTTTTCATTTTCAGCATTTTAAAGAATTCCCTCTTTTCTGTTTCTAGCATTTTTTCAAGTCACATTTTTAAGATCTGATTTGGGAAAATTAAACATCTGAGGCTTTTAAGGTCAATAACATTTTTTAAAGCATGGTAAGGAGGCCTTCAGCAATAACATCAAATTTTTAAGTTATCTCTTAAAATTATTTCATCAATTCAGAATGATGTCAAAATTGTTAATTTTTGAATAAGAAAGGTATTTTTCCCCTCATAATGAGAAACTGAAAATGTTTATAATATATTCTTATACAGCATAAAAGGTATATGCAAGTTTATATTGCAAGATAACTAACACTTTTCTGGAGAGTTTACAGTTTCAAAATAAAGAAGAACCAATAAATTACATTTCTGACTTTAAGGATTTGGCCCTAAAAAGATTTCATGAATTTAGGTTTCTGGGCCTAAAGGATGTATCTCATTGAACTAGTACAATCTGGCAAAAAAAAAAAAAACTAAACTAAAGAAAACATTAAAAATGTAGTTTCCAGAAATATAGTTTTTACAGTCTCTAGTCTTCTTAGTTGGCACTTAGAAACTGAAACACTATAGAGGATTTTTATCGAAGTAGTGTTGCTTACATTTCCCCCTATTTCAATATCCCTTTCTTAAAGCTACTCAGGTCCTCTCCAAGGTTTCTTTCTCCAGAAAGTTCTCTTAAAATTGTCAAGTTTCAATACACGGTCCTGCAACATTAGAGAAGCAGGCCACTCGTATAACTCCCAACTCAATCTCAAGCAGTAATTAGTTACATTTGAATTATATAAAAGAAATACATTTGACCATTTATGACTCACAAAAATGGCACTTTTCTAGGATTTAAACAACTAACATATTTGATGGGAATTAGACAAGTGAATCAAATCTCAAAGTTCTTCCTGTCACCTACAGAGAAAGGTATCATCCTAGGGCATTCTGTCAGACCTTAATACATTATCTTCCGTTATGACTTTTAAAATTTCTTTCTTTTAGGTTTTAGTATCTTTCGACTGTCAGTTTTCAGAAGCCTTGCATGAGGCTAGGAAACAGCCAGAAAATATTATCTCCAAAGTTATTTGCAACATGGAAGTAAAAATTCACTAATTAATTCATTCAATAATATTTACTGAGCATCTACTATGTACCAGGCACTATTCTATAATGTTGTCATATCCTCTGGAATATAGTCTAAGGTACAGACCCCAACAGTTTTGGAGCTTTTTGTTTTTCGATACTTTTTTTTAAAGTAAAATACCACCACCTCCCAATTTTTATTTTATTTTATTTTATTTTCATCAGTCTCACTCTGTTGCCCAGGCTGGAGCACAGTGGCATGGATCACAGTTCACTGCAGCCTTGACCACCTGGGTTCAGGCAATCCTCTTGCCTCAGCTTCCTGAGTAGCTGGGACTACAGGCACATGCCACCATGCCCAGCTAATTTTTTCTATGTGGAGACGAGGTTTCACTATGTTGCTTAGGCTGGTCTCAAACTCCTAGGCTCAAGCAATCTTCTCACCTCAGTATCCCAAAGTGCTGCAATTATAGGCATGAGTCACCTCACCTGGCCTCCAATTTTTTTTTTAAGGTGCTACAGAAGGACAAAAAGAACAAAAGAAAATCCAAACACAAGCTTAACAGTAAGTTTCAAGCCTAAATATCTCCATGTGTCAGGCAAAACAGTTAATGACTTACTTTGGATCTGGCGGTCCATCTGACAGTGGTTTCATTGACAGTTTACACAATGACCTGAATACTAGAAAGGCATCCTTTTGTAAAATGTGGGAAAACTTAGCACCAGGTGAAGGTCCTGAAGAATTTCCAGATTCCTAAACAAGTTAAAATACCATGAACATAGGAACGTTTGCCAATGTAAAATCACCTTGGCCTTCTGGTATATTTTATTCAATTCACTAACAGGTCAGGTTTCCCCCAGCTATTGGAATTGGAATCGTATGAGGAATTGTCACATGGTTTTCTCCTTTACTCTGACATACTACAACCATACCCAACAATAAATACCTTTTTAAAAATACACTTTTAAAATATTTTGCACTTACCACCAAATACACTCTTAAAATTTACCTAGTTCATACTATCGCTGACCAAAAAAATCCAGTACATCATGCCCTGACAAGGTATGTATACAATGGCCTAAATATACTTACTACCTGTCATTGGATGTTTTATGCTATTTTATTTTTTATCTACTCTAGACAGACATAAGGCAGTGGAGACTGTCAGGGCAATGTTTAAAAGCTGTTAACTGCTGAAGGACAATAAAGCCAAGACTTAGGGTAGGCATCCCTTATTTAAAACAACAAGAATAAAATCACACAAAATATAGAGTAGGAAAAATGAAGAAAACCTGTCACTACTGTGATACTGATTTCTTTATAACCCTGAACTAAGGTTAAGATGAAGTTCTCTAGATTTCTAAAAGTTTTCTCACTCTATGACACAAGTCGAGTACTCCACATCCAAAATGCCTAGCCCAAGAAATATTTTGGATTTTGGAATATTTGTATCACACTGATTGAGCATCCTAATCCAAAACTCCAAAATGTTCCAATAAGCATTTCTCCTTTGAGTATGATTTTTGAGAATTATGTAGGCACTCTGCTTTGGATATGGAGCATTTTGGTTTTCTGATTAGAAATGCTCGACCTATACTAGAATTATCCTGGGAATGTGATGATAATGTTCTTTTAAAAATGTAATTCAGTGTAGGGGGAGGTATAGGGAAGATGTGAACAGAGATGAGACAAACCACAGATTTGGAAATGTAACTACCAAACTATGAAGGGAATAAACAGCTGTCATGTATATCAATGAAGAAAATGTCCAAGTTTCTCATTTCCCCAAACTGAATCAGTTAGCATCATCAACTAGAAATATGCACGACAATGTGTTGATAGCCTATAAATCTGTAAGATTATTTTTTAAATTAAAAAAACTTTTTTTAAATTTTAGGCATGTGGTGTACAATTGAGGATTGGGAATACAAATGTTCATTATGCAGGTAACCTTGTTGATGAGGTGTGATTAACAGGATCTTCCCCACCCCTAATTATACCTGAGTATCATTAGAAGAGACTGACAATCTGTCATCGGGTAAGGATGGTGTGTATGCAACAGAAATTGGTGTTCCTGGAATTCCATTTGCTTGAATATTTTCACTATCACTACCATCCTCTATAGTTCCAATGTTGCCATCTGCACTTGCATTTATAGCAGTCCCTTCTCCCATATCTAAAACGGTAAGAAAAGAAAAACAGGCAAATATATCAGACTTGACCAAAGTGTATTTAAAAAGCACAGAGTATTTTAAGTGAAACAGTGGTAAAAAAGTAATGGGAAGTAAAATATGTATTGGCACTATTTAAAGGTTAGCATACTAACTAGTAAGTATACACTTGGCATACTTCCCAATATAATCCTTAATTTGCTCTGGCAATGAAACACACTTAGCTGATGAAAGGCTAACTAGGATGTGCCAAAACAGAAGCTTACTTTTTAGTCTATATTAGTGTTTACTCAACTGTGTCTTGATATATGCTAATATCTTGAAACATTAAGAGAAACTCCTTGAAGAAAATATCCCGTTATCAAATACGTTTAGGAAATCTTGGGAAATACATTTCTTTATTATAGCCATTAGGTTGCTAATATGCACTGAGCTCTCCAAAGAGGATACATATAATATGTAGTGTTTCAAAATTTATTTGGTCATGATCTCCCTCCCTTTTGTAAGAAGTCCTACTAGTATCTCTAATAATGCACTTTATTTGGAATATAGCTAGAGAAATGATGGCTTACCTCACTGAATATTTTTCATTATGTCACTCTGAGTAATCATATGTATAATTAATGTAAACTGAAACAAATGACTTCTGGTAGAACAAACAAAGATAATGAAAATAATACCACTACTACTCTAAGTGTAATGAACTATATGGGGGGGGTACCCCAAAACCCCTGAAATTTATTTACAAAATATTGTATGTTTATTTATTTATTTTTTTTGAGTTGGCCCAGACTGGAGTGCAGTGGTCGCTCCCGGCCACTGCAGCCTCGACCTGCTAGGGCTCTGGTGATCCTTCCGGCTCAGCCTTCCAAACAGCTGGAATTACAGGCGTGCGCAACCACGCCTGGCTAGTTTTTTTATTTATTGTAGAGATGAGGTCTCGCCAAGTTGCCCAGGCTTACATGTTTGAACTTCAGTCATCTTCAAAGTACTCTCTGTTTGATGCAATACACCTATTGAGATGCTTTTTCCAGTGCTCAAAACAGTTTTTGAACTTGTCAATTTTGATGCCTTTTAGTGCTTCTGCCATTTTTTGTTTCACCTCTTCTACATCAGCAAAACGTTTCCCTTTAAGGACTTTTTTTCATCCAGGGAAATAAAAAGTCTTTCGGGGCAATATTGGGTAAATAGGGAGAGTGGAGCACGGGGGTCATGCCATTCTTTGATCAAAAACTGCTGAACACTCAGTGCGGTGTGGGCAGGGGTGTTGTCATGGTGGAAGAACCAGTCACCTGTTTGCCACAAAAACAATTCACTGAAGCTGAACACAGCATCTCACGATAATGCTAGCTGACACACTGATGCTAATGGGTTCCTTGAACACTTACTTAGCAGGAGAAGTCTATATTATATGGGGCCTGCCCTCCAAAAGATAATTCTAGTGTTTTTGGCCCACCCTTGTATTCCTTTCATGCTACCAAATGAAAAAACCATAAGGTAGTATGAGGGAAACATACTGTACTATAAGGAATACAGATTCTAGAACATGAGAGACCTGTGCTTCAAGCATGTCTTCACCATTTAACTGCATAAGTTATTTCATCTTTCTTTGCCTCAATTTCTTCATCAGCTATAGGAATAATAAAGTCTATTAAGAATTGGCTGGATGCAGTAGCTCACGCCTGTAATCCCAGTACTTTGAGGTGCAAAGGGGAGAGGATTGCCTGAATCCAGGGAAACTTGGCAAGACCTCATCTCTACAATACATCAAAAAATTAGCCAGGCATGGTGGCATGTGCCTGTAGTTCCAGCTACTTGGAAGGCTGAGGTGGAAGAATTGTCTGAGCCCAGCAGGTAGAGGGGCTGCAGTAGCCATGAGCGTGACACTGCACTCCAGCCTGAGTGACTGAGTGTGAGACTCCAACTCAAACAAACAAAAAACTGGAAACAAAAGAAAACATATTTAACTTCATAAAGAGTATCCTCCAAAAACAATAGCTATCATTAAATTTAACAGTGAAATAGAAACAATTTTTTTAAAAAGTTTAAAAAAAAAGAAGATTCTCACCATCACTGTCATTATTCATTTATTAGAGGTGACAGCCTATATAATATAACAAAAGCAAACAAAAAATGAGATATAAATAATGTAGAGAAAAAACAAAATAACCAAGCAAAAAATGTTTAGAAATAATATGAGTGTTCAAAAGGTAACTAAACAGGAAACAAAGAAAAATAAGAATTTTTCCACATTCCAATTAAGTAAAGAAATAGGAAAAAAAAAAAGACCCAACCAAAATACTAACAAAACTAAACAAAAAATACAGAAGTAATTTAACAGGAAAAGTATAAAAGCCAAAGGAAAAAAAAACAAAACAATAAAACTTTCCTGAATGACATAAAAGATTTGACTAAATCACCTTTTTATGTTTCTGGAGAAGACTCAATACTACAAAAAAGGTATTATCTTGTCAAGCTAATTTATAAGTACAAACTACAATTCCAATTACTAAATAGGCTTTATTTTTTGAACTTAATAAACTGGTTCTAAAGTTCATCTAAAAAATATGTATGCAATTAATAATTTAAAAATCAATGAGGGGAGCCTTGTACAATGAAGATCAAAATATACTATAAAGTCAAAATATTTTAAATAATTCAACAATGGACACTGCATAGGAAAAGACAAACAGATCAATGTAACTGTACAGAAAACTCTAAAAATAGAACTATTTAGCATAAAACTGGCAATTTAAATTAACTGGGAAAGGATTATTTTTATAGGTTATAATTAGCTATCCAATTTCAAATCATATAGAAAAATAAGTTCAAGATGAATTAAAGAGCTAAATTTGAAATAAGAAAATAAAAATATTAGAAAAACATATTGTAGAATATTTTTATAATCTTAAGGTGGTAAAATCCATTCTAAGCAAGAAAAACACAGAAGTCACAAAGAAAAAGATGATATTTGTTAAATTTTTTGTGTGTGGTCAAACTGCTCAGAAAAATAACAATGTGAGCATGCTTAAAAAAAATAAAGACTGAAATAATTGTTACACTACACTGAATGAAAAATAATTTCTTAACATAAAGAATTCTAGAAACAACAATAACAAAAAGACAGAAGAATACGTAAAAGACATAAATAGGCAGTTCAGAAAAGTATAAATAGCCTAATGATATTCAGATGGAATATATGAAACTGCCAATGTCTGACCTACAAAATGACTGCTTCCTATATTTTGACCCTGCAGATAAAAGGAAATGCCTATGAAAATAGAGAAATTTCATCATTAAAGTGACATTATAGCACTGTATATACATTTCAAATATCTATACAATTTGATCAATTATTCCTTCTTTATTAATGTATCCTAAAGATAAGTGCAAAAATATGTTTATAACAAGAATGTATATCACCAACAGGGCTTATAAAAACCAAAATCCTGGAAACAATCTAAATGCTTACATTAGTAAGATTTAAATAAATTATGAATCACTGATACAATGAAGTATAAACTGACATAAAAGGTTATAATTTAATTTGTGAAAAGATTATAAAACTGTTAAGTCCAATCACTATATTCCCATTTATATTAAATACGTGTATGCAGGCATGCATTAAAAATGTTATTAAAAACAGTTTCGTGGAGCAAAAAACACAAGATTAAAAAACTTGGGCAAATAATAAACCGAGAAAAAATATCCGTAAAATACGTCACAGAATCCTAATATATATCGCATTCTTAAAAATTAAGGGAAAAAAGACAAAAAAATCTGACCGCAAACTGAACAGAAGACACAAATAAATTACTCTAGACGGTACACAAATGGCCCTACAGATATGAAAAGATGTTTAATTTCACTCATAGTCAGAGAAATGCAAATTAAAACAATAATTTCACTTCTGGAATCTGCCGAATATAACCTTTCATAATATCAAACAATATAGATGTACAAAGTTGTTATTCACTGCAGCATTCTTCGCTCCAGCAAACAAACTGGAAGCAACCTAAGTACTATAGACGAATAAACTGTGATGTATCTGAATAACTGAGTTTTTGCAGAGAGTTATGAGAAAAAAGAATGGGGAAAATATCAACTGAATTAAGAATGATTTCTAATACACACTAGGTGGGAAAAAGGAAGTCGCGCACACGCGCGCGCGCGTACACACACACACACACACACACACTCACAAACACACTCACAAACACATTCAGTATTATACCAAAAAGTGAGAAAGGGAAATTAAAATCTACCAGGGGTGTCAAAAAAAGGTATACTCATTTTATGAGATGTCATTTAATTTTAGAATTAGAAAATCACCACATTGCAACCCCAAACAAAAAACATCCCCAAGATTAAAATACCTAAGTAAGGCAATAATAATAATATTTAATAACTAAGTAAGGCAAGATCAGCAATGGGTACTAAAATCACAGAGTGGATGGATCTTCATATGATTTCAAAGTAACACCTCAGATTAGTTATCAACTACAAAGTGAAAAACGTTCCCTACCAGAGAGAGCTGGCACTCACCATTTTAACCAAATGACCCAACATCATCACCAACAAGGGAATAACTTGTCATTATATTGCAATTTATATGATGTAATATGAACTACCAACATCACCTATGCAGTATTCTTGCCAAATATCTAAATGTACTCATAATGAAACAATCAAATCAATCCCCAAAATTTCTACAATTATCTTAGACTCTTCAAAAAGTAAACATCATGAAAGACAGGAAAAAAATCAAGAGAACTTGTTTTAAACTAAAAAGATCAAAGAGACATAAGCAAATGAGATGTACTTAGGTTGAATTCTGGACTTTAAAAAAAGGAGAAGCTGGGCTCGGTGGCTCAGCCTGTAATCCCACGCCTTTGGGAGGCTGAGGTGAATGGATTGCCTGAGCCCGCGGATTTGAGACCCGCCTGGGCAACTTAGCGAGACCTCATCTCTACAATAAATCAAAAACTAGCCAGGTGTGGTAGCGCACGCCTGTAGCTACAGCTACTTGGAAGGCTGAGGTGGAAGGATCGCCGGAGCCCAGCAGGTTGAGGCTGCGGTGGCTGGGAGTGGCCACTGCACCCCAATCTGGGCGACAGAGTGAAACTCCAACTTAAAAAAAAAAAAAAAAAAAGGAGGAAAAAAAGACATAAGAAACACATTTTGGGACAACTAGGAACATTTTAAAATCTATGTATATTTGATATTCTTGAAATTGTGTTATTTTCTTAGCTGTAAAAATGGAATTGTGATTATGTATGACAATGCTCTTATTTATAGAAGATATATGCCAAGGTATTTAGGAGTGAAATGTCATGAGGTACACAACTAATTTTCAAATGGTTCAGCAAAAACACATACATGTGTGTGTGTATGTGTATTTAAAGACACATGAAGCAAATTTTCTATTACATATTTCATATATATTTCTGCATGATGGTCAACATGAAAATCAAGTCAGTATGTCAAACATAATTATTAGTGACTTTTTTTCCCCAAGTAACTTCTCCTCCAATATGATGGTTCAATTCCACCAATACTTCAGCCATTCACTATCTACTTAGGCTCAAAAACCGAGAGGCCATCGTGCATTAAAAAGGTAACACAGCCTGAGACTTCCTATCCTTTGAAAGGCCTACTTCCACAACTGGTCCTTGGCTGGCACCTGGGCACTTGTATTTCAGGAGGGTTTCCACTATTCCCAGAACTGATGTGGCTCACTGCCCAAGTTGTACAAATAGTGTGGTTTATGTTAAACACCAGTTTTTCTTTTGGGAATCTGGAATTTTGGTACATGCTAGGTGCCTACATGACAGCCCCCCCAAAAGACCTTGGGCCGAGTCTCTAAGAACTTCCCTGATAGACAACACTTCACATTTGATGCTGGAGGAATCAAGAACATCCAGTATGACTCCACTGGGACAGAACTACTGGGATGTGTACTTGATTTTCTCTAAACTTTGCCGCATAAACCTTATTTTCCGTGATGCTTTTACTTTGTACCCTTTCATTGTAATATATCATAGTAGTCAGTACAACTATATACTGGATTCTGTGAAATCATCAAACCTTGGGGACCTATGACACACTTTTTATTTTATCTTCTTTGCCTACTTCATCAGTTATAATGCTTGATTCAATATCCATTATCTCATTTATCTATGTTTCATCTTTTCACTGTCAAAATCCTATTCATGCTTACATTATTGTGCTAGTCTACTACTGGACTTCCTATTTCCAGACTTAGCTTCTTAAAGCATAGTTCTGATCATTTCATTTCTCAGTACTAAAGTCGTTAATAGTAATTTGTTCTAGAATAAAGTCCAAAACTCTAAACGTGGAATTTATAATCTTCTATTGGTTGGCTCCAAACTACTTCTTTAATCTTATTTTCTATTGTATGATATTACCTATGCTATTCTTCAGCCAAACCACCACCTGCCAATTCCCAAATCTATCCAATCATTCTTTCCTCTAACCTTTAGTTAAGAGATTTTTCCAATGTATGAAATACCACTCCCCTTTATCTGCATGAATTCATACATCTAAATTCAAGTGTCACCTACTATATGGAGCCCTACTGGATCATTTTAACCAGAAATAATCACTGTTTTTCCCCCTGAATATTAATAGGATTTTCATTGATTACTACTAATGGGAACTTATCACTTTCTATCTTACATTGGTCTCTTGCAAACATATACTCCATAACGCCTCTCCTCCAGAGTATGATCTATCTTGGATTAATTTTTTGTATCCCCCTACACAACCAAGCAACTGTACACACTCCATAAGGATTTGTTGAATAAAAAAAAAGAATTAAAAAATGAGAAGAAAATCAGATGAATACCTGCTTCTGCAGTTGTACTAAGGGAGGAAATATATTCTTAGAAATGATATTATAAAGGTGATTTAGGCATAGCACTGTTCTTATTCAAGATATATACTATACATTTAATCATATCTCTAGAAGTATATGTAGCAAAGTACTATGATTAGCCCTGTGCAAGAAATCATGAGTTAAATAAGCCTCAGTGGATTGGGTTCAAATCAAATCTTATCCATAATAATGTTGTTTATAAAAAATGTGAGTAAAATTCCTAACAAATTTTAAAACATTTTAATAATACAATCCAATAAATAGGAAATGACTCTATATCAACTATAAGTTGGTCTGTTATAATAAAGTTATAAGAAATAATGTTTTTTCCAAGAAGGCTACAAAATACTCAAAATCAAAACAATTTAAACATTTTTGAGTTGAGATATTTTTCACTATCTAGGTAATGGGCCACCTGAGACCCAATCTCCACCACTACACAATATGTCCACGTAATGAATACACATGTATACTCCCTGAATCTAAAATTAAAAAAAAAATTTTTCAATAAAATAAAAGTTTCGTATATTTAGGATGATGGAAAATAAACCTTTGCCCCTTCCCCCACCAAAAACAAAATGAAATCAACCTTTTTTTTTTTTTTTTTTTTTGAGTTGGAGTCTCACTAGGTCGCCCAGTCTGGAGTGCAGTGGTCGCTCCCGGCCACCGCAGCCTCGACCTGCTGGGCTCCGGTGATCCTTCCGCCTCAGCCTTCGAAGTAGCCGGAATTACAGGCATGCGCTACCACGCCCGGCTGATTTTTTGATTTATTGTAGAGATGAGGTCTCGCTGCCCAGGCGGGTCTCGAACCCGCGGGCTCAGGCAATCCACTCACCTCAGCCTCCCAAAGGCACGGGATTACAGGTTGAGCCACCGAGCCCGGCTAGGAACAGAATTTTTATTAAAAATTGCAACTGAAGTTGACTTTATTTTCTATGACCAAAAATTATAGAAAAATCATAGAAAATTTTTATAGAAAATGATGTTTTAAAATATTTTCTATAATCAAAAATATATAAATATCTTTCTGTACACACACAATCACTAATTTAAGAAAGAGCTTATAATTTTGCCCTTTTTGTTCCACACATTATAAAGTCTCCACAGTCAGATAAAATCCCAAAGATAGAATAAGATGATTTTAAAAGTAGTACACTACCTCCAACAACTATATTCACCATTTCTTCTACAATGCTCTGTACGATGTCTTGTGGCTTTTCCTCACAATCATGGTTTTCTCCATCATATACTATATCATTTTTAGATAGTGCTTTAAAAGAAAAAAATTCAAAAGACCATTATTTTAAATTTTTTGAAATACCTTACTAAACATTTATGATAAAAAACTTTCCGCAACAATGAAGAATAAAAGAAAAAAATCAAATAGATTTTTGAAACGAGAAGCAATTGCATATTAAACTTTCAAAACTTGTTTCTCAACCGGGCATGGTGGCTCATGCCTTTAATCCCAGCACTTTGGGAGGTTGAGGCGAGAGGATTGCCTGAGCCCAGGTGTTCAAAACCAGCCTGGGCAACATGGTGAGACCTCATCTCTAAAAAACAGAACAAAACAAAACAAAACTTGTTTCTCAAATTCAAGTCAATTTCAACAATTCACTTAACAAACTATTAAATAAGTATTCAACTGAGCTGAATTTTCCAGATTAGACCATTAAGAGCCAAAACTTTTTTTGTTTTGAGTCAGGGTCTTATTTCATTGCCCAGACTGGAATGCAGTGGCAACAATCCCAGCTCACCGCAGCCTCAAACTCCTGGGCTAAAAGGATCCACCCTCCTCAGACTCCCCAGTAGCTGGGACTACTACAAGGATACATTATCACACCCAGCTAAGTTTCTGACTTTTGTGTAGAGGGAAGGTTTCGCTACGTTACCCAGGCTGGTCTTGAACACCTGGGCTGACATGATCCTCCTGACTCAGCCTTTCGAAGCGCTGGGCCTACGGGCATAAGCCACCGTGCCTGGCCAAGAACTCTCATTCAAAAGTATTATGAATGCAAACTAGGCACACGCCTGTCATCCCAGTACTTCGCGAGGCTGAGGTGGGAGGCTGAGGTGAGAGGATTCCCAGCGGTTCAAGACTAGTCTGGGCAACAAAGCAAGGCTTCATCTCCACAACAACGTTTAAAAATTAGCCAGGCATAGTAGCACATGCTTGTAGTCACAGCTACTCAGGAGGCAGAAGGATCACTTGAGCCCAGGAGCTTAAGACTACACTGAGTGCGATCGTGCCATTTTACTCCAACCTAGACAGAGTAAGACCCTGTCTCAAAAAAAAAAAAAAGCTTTTTGAAACATTTCTAACACATCCTACACACTACTTAGTATACACACTACTATACAATTCTTTATCAAATAATATATCAAACGTAATTAAAGTTTGTTTTGATTACTTAGGCTCATCAATAATAAGATCAACATTGCACAGTGAGGTCCTTGAAGAAGCAGAGATAGAATCATCTGGACCTCCACCAGTGCTTTCTAATCCTTCCTTATTATTTTTTCTCCAATAGAATCTACATTTCCAATGCAAAACTAAATTTAAGAAGTTAAAAAAAAGCCAGGTGCACTGTATGTAATCCCAGCACTTTGGGAGGCGGAGGTTAGAGGATTGCCTGAGCCCACAGGGTTAAGACCAGCCTAGGTAACATGGTGAGACCTCGTCTCTACAATAAATCAAAAATTAGCCAAGCATGGTGGCACATGCCTATAGTTCCAGCTACTCAGAAGGTTGAGGCAGAAGGATCTCCTAAGCCCAGCAGGTCGAGGCTGCAGTGGTCGTGAGTGTGCCACTGCACTCCAGCCTGGGCAAATCAGTGAGACTCTGAATTAAAAAAAAAAAGAAGTTAAAAAAGAATCTACTACTCACTTAATATTTTTGTAAAACTCAGGTAACTTCTGAATAGAGTAAGAGAAACTGGGAAACTTGACATTACAGATAGTTTGTATAGGCTACTGCAGATAAAACTAGAATTTCCACTGGGTTTTTTGAAATGCTGAGAAAAATCTCAATTAGCATTTTTAAGTGCTTTGAGACCTTGTCTAGGAGCCACTGTCCTACACCAAATGGCATCAGACTGCATACCAGCTGGTAGTGCTGCTGTCTCTACCCCCTACCTCCTCCCACTACTTTGAAGGACCACTACTTACAATGGTGGCTTCCAGGTACCTATCCTCCCTGTAATTTCACTGCTCCTAATCTGCTGTCAGGGGCATTCTCCAAGATATTGAATGCCATGAGGGGAAACCTGATAAATAAGCATGTCAAATCAATAACCTTAGTGTAGAAAATACCCAAATAAAAATAACATTTAGATTCTTCTGGGAACAAAAACCTAAGTTTCTTGACAGATCATTTTCCCATCATTCTTAAGCTTTTTATTTCTGTGTTCTTGTTGGATGGAATTACTTAAAGTCTGAAAATTAAAGTTTCAATGAAACTAAACATACAGTGCCACTGTCTGAAAAGTGTACAAAATGACTAGTGAAATGAGTCAATTCTCACATACATTATCTGAAAGAAACAGATTAGAATAACAGTGACTGATAATTTTTACACATAGGACATGCTTAGAGAAGTTAACTATTATGTCCAAAGTCACACAGCTGGTAACAGAGATATGTTCCAGTAAAGGAACTCTGAATCAGTGGCTTTCAAACAGAATTTTTATTTATATTAGCTGCTGAGAGAAAAATACCTTTAGAGCGAAAATAACCATGATGATGCCACAGAAAACTATGTCTTATTTATAATTCTATATACTTTTTCTTTTTTTTTGAGTCGGGGTCTCACTCTGTCGCCCAGGCTGGGCATGATCATGGCTCACCGTATCCTTGAACTCCTGGGCTTGACCAATCCTCTTGCCTCAGCCTCCTGAGAAGCTGGGACTACAAATGCATGACACCTGGCTTACTTTAAAAATTTTTGTAGAGACTAGGTCTTGCTGTGTTGCCTAGGCTTATCTCAAACTCCTGAGTTCAAGCAATCCTCCTCCCTCGGCCTCCCAAAGTGTTGGCATTACAGACATTAGCCAATAATATTTCTCAGAAAGTTGGAAAGGAAAAAAGCAGAACGCCATCTATTTACGCCACTACTAACTTATAGAAAAGATGTGGTTAAAAAAAAAATCAAGAGTTGAAAATATAGAGGTCTTTCCTCAAAGTGAAGTAAAAACACAGACTTTGGATGAATAGTAACTAAGCCTTAACCATCCTAGTTCTAGACAACCACATTGAATAAGCAACAGAATTTCCATCATTTTTTAAATGACATCAAGCTAATTAAGTGGTAAAGGGAACAACCCAAACTGCCTGACAGGTTCATAAAACAACTAAAGCTGAAAATAATACTTGGAAAAAAAAAAACACCCATGTGATTATTCTTACAGAGAAATAAATTTGTCAAACAAGAATACAATTTAACTTTTGTGATCTTGTAATTTCTTTATCAATACATTTACTTGGAAAAAATATCAAAGAACATCTCAATTTTAATGATTACTATACAGAGTAAAAAATAAATAAAAGTTTTTGCATGTCAGTTGGTTACTCAAAAGACTGGTTTTTATATTTAATTTCTGTATTTTTTTACCATAATCATATTTTCTACACCAATAATGATTTCCTAAAAATTTCAGTCATATTCCAGAAAATCTTACTAGGTTACTTGTTTGCAATGAAACCAATCTTAAGAAGAAAACTGAAGTTCCTATAAGATATGCTAACAGACATTTGTAACACTCTTTAGAAACACTATATACTCCAAAAAAAGTCTATAAATCATACTGCTCATGAGTTGCTAATAAGTGAAAAGTATCATTAATGGACATGTTCTGGATTGAAGTCAAATTAACTTTACAATCTATGATGAAAAAAGCCCACCATTACCACAATGTGCCCGGCAGCCATTAAACATATTATCCTTTCACATTTCTTCATCAAAACTCTCATTCCTACAATTTTCCCTAAACACCTCCCCCCACCCCCAATTTCTAACCCCTTCTCAGGAAGATTACTTTCAGCAGCAGTTGCTTGATCAGCTTCAGTCTGTTCATTTTCTGCACTGGAAATATCAGATCCATTTTCAGGTTCTGTATCATCCTGAAGACTTTTATCTACATCATTTGTATGGGGGTCAAGGTCTCCTTCATGTTCTTGGGATATATGATCGACAGTCTGAGGTGGCAAATATCTAAGTTGAGGTGAATCAGGTTCATGATGGCTTACTGGAGACTGCAACAGATGATGATGCTGTCGATGCCTTTCTTTTTCCATTTGTTTGGCTTCCTGCAACTAAAAAAAAGAAAATGATTTCCAATATTAGCAAAATAAGTTGTTTAAAATTTGGAAGGACAATGTTATATCCAACTATAAATCCTTAGAAGGTGCCGTTTTGTCTATATGCTTGGAAATTATAGTCCATCAGAAACAAAGACCATAAAATATACTAAAAACAATGAACAATGTTTACTTCTTAATTGGCTGGAATTGGCCATAAGAACAGAGATGAAAGACCTTCACTATAAGGGAGGACACAAAACCCCCCCGGAACATATTTATTAAAATTGTTTATTTATTCACACGTTTAATTTTCAGTCATCTTCAAAGTACTCTGTTTGATGCAGTACACCTATTGAGGTGATTTTCCCACTGCTCAAAACAGTTTGAACTTGCTAATTTTGATGCCTTTTAGTGCTTGTGCCGTTTTTTGTTTCACCTTTTCCACATCAGCAATACACTGTCCTTTGAGGACTTTTTTCATCCGAGGAAACAAAAAAAGGTCACTTGGAGGAAGAACTGGTGAACAGGGAAGATGGGGCACAGGCTTCATGGCATTTTTGGTCAAAAACTGCTGAACACTCAGCACAGTGTGGGCAGGTGCATTGTCATGGTGAAAAACCAGTCATGGGTTTGGCACAACTTGGGATGTTTCTTCTGCAAATGGTGACGAAACCATCTCAAAACTTCCAGATTAAACTTTGGTTGACCATTTTGGGTCTCCCTTCATATATATCCTTTTCATTATATTTGGGTGTTTAATTATGTGAATGGGGGAATAAAATACACTCACATACTCACTTTTGCTTATACATACATACAGAAAGTCTAGAAAGATACACAAGAAACTAATATTAATGGTTACCTACAGAGGGCAAGAGTTAGGTAAAAAAGAGCAGGAGGGAACTTTTCAGTGTTTACCCTTCTGTGGCATAGTATGTCATCTCGTCAAACATCTTCAAATGAAAAAAATATTAAAATTATACTTAATACACAGAATTTCAATGAGGGTTTAAATCACTCTGCCTAGTTATCTAATAATTATGAAAAAACTGTATCTACAAATGTCTGATTTTTATATTAGAAGACCTGTCACTATTATGTACATAATACTTTCTGTACAACTGATTCACAAGATGCTAAAAACATTAACAATCAGAATCACAGGGTTTCATTTCTTTATCACTTTACTGCTTTTCACATCTCTTTTGGTCCTCATGAGCTGATAAGAATGACTCTCACAGAAATAATTTCCACAAATATAAGTATTTTATGGTATCAAATATAAACACTTCATACTCTTCAGTAATATTTCACGTTATGCACAAATACCAAAACTAATTACCTAATATTAAAAAAAATCTGAATTTAAAGATTTTAATGCCTAAAAGGTAAAAAGAGCCTTATAATCTATATGGTCCACATTCCTTAATTTACTGATGGACATGATTAGTTGGACAGTTAGAATCAGAACAGAATTTTCAGACCAATATTTTAGCTTATTCATAGAAAAAACAATTTCTGGAGTAACAGTGAGAAATCCAAGACTTGCAATCAAATCACACCCTCAGCCTAACTTCAACCAATCAGCAACATGGTTTGTGGCGTAAGTAAATGCTTTGAAATCACAGACAAGCATGGTGTCAAATTCTAGTTTTTTCCACTTTTTCTAGAGTTGCAGACATTCTAGCAATATTCTTAAAAAAAAAAAAATGTTATTCTATGAAAATAAACCTTTAAACATTTTCTATACATCTCTCTGCTTCCTAGCATAGTGTTTCTCAATATCAGCACTATGACATTCTGGATATTTCTTTACTGTTGGGGGGCTGTCCTGTGTACTTTAGGGTGTTAAGCAATATCTCTGATTTCTACCTACAAAATGCCAGTGGCAGCTCCTCTATCCCAGTCATGTCAATCAAAAATGTCTCAAATGTGCCTTTAGGGAGAAAACCATCTACAGTTCAGAACCACTGTTCTGGTGAGAAAAAAAAAATAGCATTTTTTTCTTTTGAAATAATTATAGAACTGAACTTTTAATAACTAAGTCTGACAAGATTTGCTTTGTATAGAGTTTTATTTTGTGGGGGAGAGAGGAAAGTAAGGTTACCAGTAGTAAATACCAGTGAATTACAATTACAGCTTAGAAAGTTTTAACAAATGTGGAAGTTAAATCATTTGTTCCCCAGCTTCTCTTTTTTCTCTCTTCTCTTTCCTCCCTTTTCTATAATTATCCATAGCACAGAACTAAATATTCTTTGTAACATAAAACATGTTCATGGTATTTATCACAATTCAGTTATATGTTTGTTTAAATAATTACTTGTTTAAGGTTTATCTTTCATCTCTACACCCCACAGTTTGTGAGATCTTTGAAAGTAGTGGTCAAGTCGGGTTCATATATCTCTATGTAAGTGAGACCTAGAACACTGCCAGGAGCACACTTAATAAAATTTTGTTGAACAAGTCAAACCAATAAAACCTATCTTTCTATTATTTAAAAGTGACGAAGTCACTGTTGATAGCTGCAAAATATGAGAAATAACCTGATGCTACTACATAGGAGAACGGTTTAACAGACTACAATACATTCTAAAGTAAAAGAATGAGGACTGTCTCTAAGAACTGATATGCTTTCTAGAACACACTGCTATATTCTGCTAAGTGAAAGAGTACCCTTGTGTAGTTCCTTCCCACAATATACCTATGTGACTACTTCTGATTATAAGGAGATATGTGGCTCCTGTCTTACTTTCAAGGGGTGGAATGAAGGCAGGAAGAGGAATGAGGTGGTAGGAATTAGGAGGAAATGATACTTCTTTGAGTATACATTTTGAATAGCTCTGACTCTTAAATCGTAGTGAGTTTTACATACCTAAAAAATAAATAAGGTATGCAAAAAATAAATAAAAAATAAATATTGGCCCTCCATATTCATGGGTTCTGCATCGTGATTCAACCAACTGGGGATTGAAAATATTTGAGGTAAGGGGAAAGAATGATTGCACCTGTACTAAACAAATATGTAGTCTTTTTTTTCCTGTCAGTATTCCCTAAACAATACAGTATAACAACTGTTTACAGAACATTTACACTGTACTTGGTATTATAATAATCTAGAGCTGACAAAGTATATGGGACGATATACATAGGTTACATACAAATATTATACTATATCAGGGACTTGAATATCCATGGATTTTAGTATCCAATGGAGGAGCCTGGAATCAATCACCCAAAGACACTGAGGGAAGACTGTAATTAAAACCAACAAAGGTATGAGGGGTACTGAAAATGAAAAGACTGTAATAACAAAGGAATAACATTACCCCCTTGAAGGGTACGGGGAAGAAAAGAACTAATCTAAGTAACTTTGAAAAATAATATTTTGGTCAGGCTCGGTGGCTCAGCCTGTAATTCCAGCACTCCAGGAGGTCAAGGCGAGTAGATTGCCTCTGCCCATGGGTTCAAGACCAGCCCGGGCAACTTGGTGAGACCTCGTCTCTACAATACATCAAAAAGGGGCCGGGGGTGGTAGCACATGCCTATAGTTCCAGTTACTTGGAAGGCTGAGGCGAAAGGATCGGAGGAGCCCAGCAGGTCGACGCTGGGGTGGCCTCGAGTGTGCCACTGCACTCCAGCCTGGGTGACAGAGTGAGACTCCAACTCAAGAAAAAGAAAAAGAAAAATAATATTCTGAATGGATAACATACAAGTAAAGACAAAAATAAATGAATATAAATGCTGTGCTCTACTTAGTAAATTTGCTTCTCACAGTGGTAAAATTTTAGCAATTCTAAATCTAATGGGATAACAAGATTGAACAGTTCATTATATTACAGAACATGAAAGTCAGATTTCTCATTGTTTAGAGAAAGAAGTTACAAATAAAGAAGACTGAAATGAACCCCGTGGTGTTATACTAGAATCATAAATAAACACACAGTTTTTAATATATACACATAGAAAGTCACCTATAAGTGTAGGAATAGTCAGGCAGGGGTTAGACATACACAGAGGGTCCCCTGAAAAGGTATGCACTTTAAGAAGGGAAAAAACTGCAATAAAATTGCACTCCTCAATATATACCAATAACAAAAGTTGAATACAAGTCATGTTTGATTTCTGCAATTACAAGAGGTACTCAAAGTGGTTACCATCAGTGTCCAGATACTTCTGATTACAGAGAACATCTCTTAACATTGCTAAAAATGTGTATACATTTTTTTGACACCTCCAGTATTTCCCAACTCCATCTGCTAAGAGGGCCTAGAAGCAATAACACCCCAGTGACAATAAATATACACAGCACTTAAGATTCTGAGTTCTAAACATCTTTTCCCAATTGCAAGAGCCAGGACTCTATTGAATCGTTGATTCTAGAGCTGAAGCAGGGCAAATTCAAAATGAGCCTGGAACACTTTGAGATTCTGGAAAGTGTAGAGATACTTAAAAAAGGATGAGAGCTTGTCAAGGACACAAGACCAAAACTGAAATAACGTGGACAACAGAATAAATAATTATAGCATCATAGAATAAAATATTCGTGAATATAGATATAAACAAGTGAATGAATAAATAAATAAATTGGAAAGAAGAATTTCAGTTAATAAACATAAGGAAAGAGAGGAACAGAAAGTCACCATCAGTAATGACTGTCACCAACAAGATCCACTGATAGATACTAAAATTGAGGACAGTGGGAGAATTTGAGGAGAAACAGAGTATTGCATAATCTTAAAATATCTCCCCAAAGATGCTTTATTAACTGAAAAAAAAAAAACAAAAAAAAAACTAGCAACTTCATAGTGGAGGAAACTGAAGTGATCAAGGTTAACATCATCAGCATTAAGACATATCAATATTATGAATTCCTGACACGATACATTGAAAAGGACACAACACTATTTTAGAGATATTCTACCAAAAAAAAAGCACAAATTCATGCAAACCATAAGAAAATATCAGAAAAAATAAACTGAGAGACATTTAACAAAATCAACTAATAAGTATCCTTCAAAAGCAGCAAGAAAATGAAAGATAAGGAGAGAATGAGGAACTGTCACAGACTGGAGAAGACTAAAACATAACAACTAAATGCATACTAAATACAATGTGAAATCTTGGGTCACATCCTGAAACAGAAAAAGGATATTAATGGGAAAACTGATGCAATTCAAGTAAAGTCTGTAGTTTAGCTAACAGTATTATACCCGTGTTAATTCTGCTTTTGATAACTATACTATGGGTAGGTAAGATTAAGGGAAGCAGAATGAAAGGTAAAGGAATCAGTCTGTAAAATCTTTGCCACTTTTCTCTAGGTTTACAATCAGTGCAAAATAAAAAACTGACAGTTCATTTTTATTAATGAAAACCTAGGCCAAAAAAAAAAAAAAAAGTTCTATTTGCTGATCAGTCTGAAGCAGGTTATTCCTTTAAAACAGGTTATTGCTTTAAAGGAATATCATGACCCTTTAACATATGGGAAAAATTTATCAATACAGAAATGCATTTTATCTTTTTAAACCTTAATAAATAATTTTATATCAGATTAGTTCAAATTAAGTTTTATATCTACATTACACCCTACAAAGCTTGAGTACAATTGAAGTACCAATTCATAAATACTTCCATGAGGAAGATGACAATTAGTATCTTTGACATTCTATTTGAGAACAATTTAAAACCTAATTTTTCCAAAGTCAAAGAAGTCAGTAAACCTCAAAACAAAATGAAACACAATACTACAAATCTCAAGTAGAGTTATAAATAAAAGACATTCTTCTCAATAGGCACAAGGACTTCACTATAATTATTGTAAAGTCCTTTCTAGACTTAATGCCTGCAGTATCCTGTAAAAATGCTCTTTTTTTTTTTTTTTTTTTTTTGAGTTGGAGTGTCACTCTTGTCATCCAGGCTGGAATGCAATGGCGTGTTCACGGCCACTGCAGCCTCGAACTGCTAGACTCAGGCTATCCTTCCACCTCAGTCTTCCAAGTAGCTGGAACTACAGATGCACGCCACCATGCCCAGCTAAACACTCTCTTTTAAAAATACTTACTGCTTGGTTTTCCATGCGAGCAAAGATAACATTTAGCATCTGAGTAAGAGTAGCTTTGGCTGTTGTCTGATTGATGAGATTTTTGCTTGCTAGATAGATATTGTAACATGTTCTCACAGCTTGCAGAACAGTTCCTTCATGAATTTCTATGTGCTGTGATGTTACTGCAGTAAGTAGAGCCTTTAAAAAAAAAAGAAGACAAACTTAAAGCGATTTTCTGCATCTAGAGTTTCAACACAAAAATATGAGTATTTTCACATTGGAATTAAAACTTTCAGAAAAAATTATCACTTTCAGGTAGAATATAAAGAATTTCTACCTGCCTTGAATATATCATCAACTGTTAAAATATTAGACATTTTCCTCTTTCTAGCAGTAGTTTCCATATTATCTTCCCAACCTCAGAACTAAGAAACCATCAGACTAATTTGTTTCAACCAAAGTTTCATTTAAATAGAAATATGATTTTAGTTTTCAGAAAAGGAACAGTATTACAGCTGTCACAGCAGAGTACAGATAGGTCTCATATGTCTGCTGAAATAGTCAACTTTAAAGGCTACACAACACGTCTTCTTCAGCTCCAAATTTTTGAGATCTTTTTTACAGACTGAATTCAATTGTGCTATTGTTATTGATGGGGATGTTTATAAATGTTTTAGAACAAAGCATTTAAAATAACCTTAAAATGAATCCTTCAATAAAGTGAACAACTTTTCACAAATTAGGTTACTTGCAATTTCTCAAGAGCAATAAATAATATCTTTTGTCCTCTTTATGTTGTATGCTATGCAGAGTCAGCATTAATGAGTATATCCCAATTAAACCATAAATGACATGAAGCTGTAAATGACAGACCAAAATAATTTAATAGGGTTTTTTAGAATAAAGATATTATATGACTTGTGAAGTAAATACAGCTATAAAACTGAAAGGCTCCAAAGGGGTTATATTCACACATGAAAGAAAACTTTACACAGCAAAAAAGATTTCAAAAATATTACGCTATAGTACTTGAGAAGTTTACTGATATATAAACATACTATCACTATCATTAGCAATAACATTAAAAACTCAGTATTTGCAACCGAATGAAAACATGACTAGTTGTTCTCTAAAGGAGTTCAACCAACCAGGTACATGGTAGCATAAACCCAGGATAGTTTTTGCTGAATGGGCTCAGTGGTTGAATAGGTACAAGGGAATCATGAAAACTAGTAAACAAGTGGTCTACAAGGTAATCCAGGGATTGAGAGAGCAGGCTATAAAGGGTTCAAAAGTACAGAAAACACTGGGAGTAACAGCTTTAAGAACCACCCTAAAGCTTGAAGAATAAAATAGATCTTAAAAACATTCCAGAAATGGAAAAACTCAGGAAGACTCTGGGACCTGTGCCTAAAGTGAGACCTTCAAAAGAAGAGATATGGGAATACAATCTTCTTCTAATAAACTCTTAGAATATTGAGTCTAAAAAGCACCTACATGACTCTAGTGTAGCTGGAACGCATGTAAAATGATCCTTCCTAATATTTTCAAAGCAAAAGGCATCTGATTTTTAAAAATACAGTGTAATAACAAATTAACTTTATATTTTCAGTTACCTTTATTATCTGCAGCTGAACTCCTTCATCTGTCTGAGGACCTTGGAAACAGCCACATATTGTTTCAATAATTCTATCAATTAATTTTTTGCCTGGTGTTGTACTATCTGGAGCACTGCCTGTCAAGTGCCCATAAGCAATAAGTTTCTAAAATGGAGGAAGAAAACAAAGATCCTAAGTAAGCTAAGCAATATGTATGCTAATTAAGTATGCATTAAAATTAGAATATACAACTGAATACACATTAAAATTTTTACATAAAACATCAAGGCACTATCAAAGTCAAAACCATCTCAATTTTTTCTGTAGAAAGTTTAGCTATAAACATGTAAAATTATTTACACTTGTAATAATCACAAAAACAGAACAATGACCACAACAAAACCATCACGCAGCACTTTAAGAAAGCCAGAGAACCTGTCTCTGAGGAGTTAAGAGTTAGAATTGCTTACTGCTTTCTATCTAAACAAGATTTTATTGATACTTTTGTAGAAACTATCTTCAGGCTTTTAAATAACCCCATATCTCTTTCCAAATTAGATCTATCGAAATGCAGAAAACGTGGCTGGGCACAGTGGCTCACACCTATAAACCCAGCACTTTGGGAGACCAAGGTGGGAAGATTGCTTGAGCCCAGTAGTTTGAGACCTGCCTAGGCAACATTGCAAGACCTTGTCTCTACAAAAAAAAATCCAAAATTAGCCAGGCATGGTGGTACATGCCTGTAGTTCTAGCTACTTGGGAGGCTGGGGTGAAAGGACTGCCTGAGCCCAGGAGGTCAAGGCTGCAATAAGCCATGATCATGCCACTACACTCTAGCCTGAGTGATAGAATAAGAACCCAACTCAAAAAAAAAAAAAAAAAAAGAAAAAAAAATCAGAGTGGATTGCCCGAGCTCACGAGTTTGAGACCCGCCTGGGCAGGCAAGACCTCATCTCTACAATAAAATCAAAAAATTAGCCGGGCATGGTAGCGCGCGCCTGTAGTTCCAGCTACTCGGAAGGCTAAGGTGGAAGGATCGCCAGAGCCCAGCAGGTCAAGGCTGCGGGCCACTCCACTCCACTCTGGCCAATAGAGTGAGACTCCAACTCAAAAAAAAAAAAAAAAAAGAAAAATCAGAAAACCTGTACACTAACTGTAATAAAGTACAGATTTGTTTATTCATCATTACCATTATAGTCTGGAGGGAAGGCTTTAGAGATTATAATTCTAACTTTCCAGGAAAAACACAATCACAAATCAGATGATCTTATCTTTACCATATCTTAAGGACAAGTCATATAGTCTTCTCCTAGCCAATAAATTGTTATTTGAATACATGTAATCCCCAAACACCTGTAAAGAGAAGTACCCTTCTATCTGGAGGCTTGTCTTATAAATACCTAAAAGCATTCTCTGTGTGTGCGTGAAACAGGATAAAAGAGTTCAGGAATTTTTCTGACACAATTGAATGCTATAGCTAAAGTTCAGAAGTTAAATACTAAGCTGTCAATATTACCCTATTGCTCTATATAAAACAGCAGGCATTTAGTAAAAATCATTTGCAAATGATGATGTACATAAAGTGAACAGGAGATTAAAAGCATTACAGCTACTGCATTTCAATGACAGAAAGAAACCAATCAACACTTTCATTACTGGGAACCTGAGGAAAGATTTTTGTGTCCCACTAAGCTAAGGACTGTTACTATTAATAACTCAGAAACATCTTTTTGAAACTATTATCATCTATACTGAATATAAGCAACCATTTGATTTCTTACCACAAAAAATATTCAAGGCTTTTATGGAAATGTTTGAATCATCAATTTGTGAATTATGTTTTAGAAACACATCCAAAATAAACAGTTTTTAAAGAATGCTATTTTGCACATACCTGTAAACAGTCTAGAGATGTACTAACTATGCGAGGACATTTGGACTGGCATGCCAATTCAAAGGGTAAGAAGTACTTGTCTGCTTCAATAAAATTTGTCTTTGACTTCACTGGTGGAAGGGTGCTTGAACCAGCTTTTACTTCTCCATGAGGAGGGCTAAATGAAAGAGTCTGATTAGAATATATATTTTCTAGGATAAACTCACACAGAAACACCGAATTTCAATTCTAAACGAAATCCTGCTAAACCAATCTTCCACCTTCCCATATTTAATGAGGAAACCAAAGCCCAGAGAGGATAAGGAGTTTGCCAAAAGGTCAAAAGCTAGTGGTCAGAGCTGTGACTAAACACAGAACATTAAATTCTCGTCTGCAAAAAACTGAAAAAAACTGAAAGATCTCAAGGTGTTTCCATTATAAAATTACTGCCACTTAATAAATTTGGTATTGTAACTGCTTAAAAAACAATGAGCTTTCTGTTTGTCCTTAAGTCAAACCGCATTTTTTTGAGTTATTCAATATTGTCCTAAAGAGGCTAACTCTAGCAAAGAAACCTACTAATTTTTCCAAATATAAAACAAAGTTTTTAAGACTTTAAGGCACAAGGAATCTGAGAAATACCTTTATATATATGTGCGTGTTTATGTGAGATCTTTTGTATTGTAAGTATGCTTACAATTATATTTCTTAAAAACTATTAAAAATTGCTTATACTATAAAGATCTCACATGCAGAAAATTTGCCACACTAAAATGTAAATGTATTATTATTTCAGCCAAGATTGACAAGTTTACAAATTATTTTTATTAAAGAAAAGAAATCTTACAAACCTCTGTTTTTCAGTTTCTGCTTTTATTTCCTCTGATGGGGGGAAAAAAACATACATTAGAAAACCTGACAATAGAAAGATGATTAAGTAATTTGATTATAGATTTCATAAGCTCATTTGGAACTTCTACAAAAAGGTGGGAAGAATGTAAATTCAACAGAAAAATAGGTGTTAAAAGTCTGTTTCATCTAAATTTTATAATTTACACAAATAATTATAAAACTGCATGAAGAATGTACATTAACAACTATAATACGCAAAATTAGATTACTAATTACCAAAGCATTTCCTTTTCTCAAAACACTTCCTTTTCTGTCAAGTAACTACTTACATTAAACAGAAGCATTAATATTAAAAACAGAATACTGTGTATGCTATGTTAAAGTCACAAAAAATGTTGACAGGAAAACAATACAAAACACCTCAATGTACCACCCTTGTGACTATCTCAGGGTGACTGTCAGACAAGAACTATAATTTCTTGAATATGTTAATATATGTGTTGCTATTTAACCAATTTCCTTATATACAGCTATATAAGGCAATAAAATACACATGCCCAATTTAATGGGGAATTTTCCCCTTTCAACATTTATAAAGTATAAGATAAATTAGATAAATCCTATCTGTAATAAAAGATTCTTAAATTTAATCAATAATCTGGTTAATTGACTGAACTTGCTTGAAATTTGGAAGAAAAGTCTTCAAGTATAATGTGCCAAATGCTGTTACATTTTACCTGTAACTAACATATTTAAGCCTCACAACAATCCTATGAGGTACATACCATGACCTATGAGGTATGTACCATGACACCTTCATTTTAAAGATTGGAAAATTTAGGCAGAGAGTTTAAATAACTTCTCCAAGGGCTGCCATGACTTGGGTATGTGGCTAATCAGGCTTCAACAGGTTTCAATACCAGGTAGTTTAACTCCAGATCCTGGTTTATTAACTACTCTACCATATAGGTGTCTTTAAGAATATTAAACAAACTGTGTTAAATGTGGGTATTATAAATAACTACTGGCCTATAAATTTAATAATTATTAAAAACAATAACTTTTGAGCACCTTTCATGTACCAGAGACTATATTAAACTCTTTATAAGGAGATGTTGCCAAATCACCTTGCTATGCAATTTAGTCATACAATATATACAATTTATTCATTATCTATTGTGTGTGAGGCACTTGATGTTAAGTATGTCAGTCTAGTTCTCTATGAACCAAAGCACTTTCAATTTCATCAGTGGTAGGAGTAGAATGATGATAATGTAAAAATATTTCTACAGCTATTTAAACTACTGCTTAATAAAGGTTTATAATGAATTTAAGACCTGCATATCAAATACTAACATTGCACAGTACACTGATACATACAATTAAAAGTAATTTAAATCACTTTTAAAAATATTTATGGACAAGGAGGGAATGCTGTATTGACTGTCCTAAATCTTTAAAACAGTATTTTTCATTATAAAATATTATCATTATTTAAAAAGCTGAAATACTACTAAAAATCAGGTAAGGCAGAAAAAGATGCAAGGTGAGGTGGGGAAGAAATAGTAGTTTTTGTATAAGGTGAATTTCCATTTATAAGATGATTAGGAAATAGGTATTCTGATTAAATAAATCATATGTTAACTTGGAATATCAGGAAGTGAAACACTTTAAAGAGCACTTACGTTTTGATATTAACTATCACTAAATAACTGTGACCATAAGAAATAACCCTAACTTTGCTATTACATGACTGTAAAGGTCCCTTGTAGCCCAAAACATGAATGAACAGAAGCCCACCATGTGTTTGTGTATGCCCCATGAATTCAAAAATGGTTTTTAACAGTTGAACATTTACAACTGACTTGATAGGAAACACTAACTTTGAACCCCAATGAAGAGAAATGTTATTCCCCCTCTAAAAGAATTTCATTCTTCTCATTAGGAAACCAGGATTATAAAACTTTTACTCAGTTATCATTTTAAATTTTGCCAATTAAAAATGTGTTAAATTTGTTTTCTCTTATTATTTAAGTACCTGCATAATATCCTTGATTTTTTCCTCTTAGCTCAAATAGCCCTTTACAAAAAAGGTCTGCTGACCCTTGTACTATATAACAATATGGTTCAAAGGACCTTACAGACCTTAAGAGTTATCTTATTCTATTATTCCATTATTTTTGATGCCTTTATTTAAACAGTCTAATAAAACTTATTCAATACAATTTATGTTAAATGTCATGTTTCCATGCTAACCTTGATAGTGTGTTAATTTCCATCCTTCTTTTTTTCCTTTTCCCTTTCCTTAATTTTCCTTTGCTTCGTCTGCTTCTATCTTAATATTATAAGTCACATGACAAGGAGGCAAGCGCTGTTCAAACTACTCTTGATAAATTTTTTACAAAGAAATAAAATAACTCTCAATGTTTCTAATGTTTTAAATTACAGTGTACAAAATAAAAGTTTTACTATTTTTTCATTTCCCAGTATATCTAAAATCCACAGTAAGAGTTTTTAATGTTTTCACCAAAAATTTTAAAGGCCACAAACAATATAATTAAATCATTGTTCTGACTATTAAGATAGCTCACATGTTTTCAGCTTGCATGGTTATTGCTACAGTCTTGTAAAATGCCTATAATTTTACAGTCCCATGAAGATTGCCTCTATTCATCTTAAAATATTTCCTTTCAAATGCATTCCACATTGCTTAAACTGAAAGTTACCATCATTAAAAAGTAAACAAAATTTTTAAAACAAGGGGCAATGGAGGGAGGTAGACAGAAAAAGTACTTATCAAAATACTGACAGTAACAATATTATAAGTCACAGTATTTTAAAACAAACTGAAAACTTTGAAGGACATGCAATACTACTTTATATCTGCACAGCAACAGACAGTACTTTAAACATTTTTCCATATATTATATAATTTTATTCTCTGTAAAATGAGAATTCCTCATTTTACAGATGAAGAAACAAGGTCAGACATCTGATAAGTATTGATTCCAGCAATTAGCTTCTCTAGTCTTTTTTTTTTTTTTTTTTTTTTTTTTTTAAATGGAGTTTCACTCTGTCACCCAGGCTGGAGTAGAGTAGCATGCTCATGCCCACCCCAGTGTCAACCTCCTGGGCTCCGGCAATCCTTCCACCTCAGCCTTCCGAGTAGACAGAACTACAGGTGTGCACTACCGCACCCGGCTAATTTTTTGATTTATTGTAGAGATGTGGTCTCACCATGTTGCCCAGGTTGGTCTCGAACGCGCAGGCTCAGGCAATCCTCTCACCTTGGCTGCCCAAAGTGATAGGATTACAAGCTTAAGCCACTGTGCCTGGTCTGTAGTCTTAAACTACTGCATTACCCACTACATTGTGCTACAATTAAGTAAACTTCTATTAACTAGTGCAAATGAACTGGAAAAAAAAATCATTCTACAGTTATCAGGGTAAACATATTATAGTAATTCCCCCTTATCTGCAGGGGGATACGTTCCAGGACCCCCAGTGGAAGCCTGAAGCCTTGGACAGTATCAAACCAGATTGCTATCAATTTGAACATGTTTCTGTTCATATCTTCCACCCAAAATTTAATGCCTTTTCTATCTTAACTAAGCATTTATTACACACTGTGGCCATAAAATTTGTAGTTTGAGGTTCAAAAGCAAAACTAACACGAATTTCTTTTTCCTTCTTTACAATTTCACATTCTTACCACAGATGATAGCAACCTCAACATATAATTTATTTTTTATTTTAAGTTGAAAACTTTCACCTTTTCACTTAAAGGAAGCACTTTACTGCTTCTCTTTGGTTTATCTGAATTGCCAGTATCACTACTCTTACACTTTGGGGTTGTTAAGTAAAATAAGGGTAACTTGATCACAAGCACTGTAATACAGAACAGTAGATCTGATAACCAAGATGGCAACTAAGTGACTAACAGGTGGGGAGCTTGCAGAGTATGAAGATGCAATACAAAAGAAATGATTTACATATGGGGTGGGAGAGGGCAAGATTTCATCACACTACTCAAAATGGCACACAATTTAAACCTTATGAATTGCTATTTACAGAATTTTCCATTTAATATTTCCAAACCAAGTCAAAACTGTTTATAAATCAGTATATGCAAACTATACCTGATCTCCCAAGTATATTAAACATTCCCCTTCATAATACTTTTTCCGTCAACTTGCTTATTATCAGGTCTCTTTTTTCCCTTTTATAAACCTCAAAATACTTACATACATTCAAAAAATTCCGTTATCTATACACTATGAATAATTCGTATCTATCTCTCATGGCATCAATTTTGTCTCACATATAGTACACTTTACAGAGTAACAGCAGCTACTCAATGCAAACTAAACTTGTAACTGAAGGAAAGACCTCAGTTAAATGAATAGTTTTTAAAACACATTAGAACTTACACATCCAAACTACTGTCTCCTTCAAAGCAGTAATTGTGAGAGTGTATGTATCAATTATCATAATACTACTGAGGCAGAGCAGGGACCTGTCTTGGGAGCCTGCCAGGGCACCCCAACATGAAAATACTGAAAAAATCTGGAGTACCTTCAAGGGGAAATTCTGGGTGCCTAGCTAGTCTTGAAAAGTAAATGAGGAACTCAATAGGCAAGACAGTACTAATTTAAACAACAGTGTCCCAAGCAAATTACAGTTACAAGGTGGTTTGGTTCCCTACAGAGCTAAGAGATAACATCTTAACATGTTTTGGGGTTGTTTTTTCAGAAAACCCAGGGCCTACCAGAAGGAAAAATGCAGATCACTGTCACATAGACTTCAGATAAGCAGGGACTGAGGATCAACTCTGACTGCAGTCTTTGGTCTAAATTCCTAAGGTACCTGGAAAGAATCATACCCATAAGTTAAACCTTAAGATTCCTTTCTTCTGATCCTAAATTTTTGGACAAGGCCTTGCTTCCTTAACTAATTACAAATCAAAGAATCTCTGAATTCACCTATGATCTCCAAGTCCCCACTTCAAGACATCCTGCCTTCTGGGGTCA